TATCTGGGGAGCTGGAAGATGAGCACTGGCGACTTTGTAGTACAACTTTAGTACGCGGAGTAGCTGGGGAGCTGGAAGCTGAGAACTGGCGACTTGGTAGTACACCTTTAGTACATTATGCCCCATATTGCGGACATGCGTTGTTGGCTAGTTGTGGCTGCGCGCACTTGAGACTCTGACTGCTTTGTGCTTTAGAAACTTAAGATTCGTAAAGATTCATATGTGGGGTTGTCCGGTCCTTTAATTCCGGTTTACGACGTTCAAACCCCTATCTCGCAGACACGTTCCTGGTCCTTATCTTTCCTTATCTCTGCTCCTGACCACCTTATCTTTCCTTATCAGCCATGTACCCGGACGTTCAAGTCCCTATCTCGAGGAGACATGCCTTTGCAGGCTTTTCCAGTCCCTTTTGAGCCCTCGTTGGGCCATGTTTGAGATAGTGACTTCTGAGGCTATGTTAGACAATATCTTCACTCTTTCCAGTCCCTTTTGAGCGTTCGTTTGAACCATGTTTACGACGTTCGAGTACCTATCTCGGGGAAGCATACTTGAGATAGTGACTTCTGGGGTTATGTTCGACCATATGGGAGCTATGCTCGTGAGATAATGTTACCATTCCTGGACCTTATCTTTCATTCCTGGACCTTATCTTTCCTTATCTCCGCTCCTGACCACCTTATCTTTCCTTATCTCTGCTCCTGACCAGCCATGTACCCGGACGTTCCAGTCCCTATCTCGAGGATAGTGACTTTGATCGTGACTTTGCAGGCTTTTCCAGTCCCTTTTGAGCCCTCGTTGGGCCATGTTTAGTGGAAGTCCCTATCTCGAAGAAGCGTGCTTGAGATAGTGACTTCTGGGGCTATGTTCGATCATATGCACGCTCTGCTCGTACGAAAATGTTACCTTTCCTGGACGTGATCTCTGCTTATCTCTGCTTCTGTAGCCAAACATCACTTCTAAAGCTATGTATTCCAGACCCGTTCGGCCATGTTCCCTCGTTGGGCCATGTTTGGTGGAAGTCCCTATCTCGAAGAAGCGTGCTTGAGATAGTGACTTCTGGGGCTATGTTCGATCATATGCACGCTCTGGTCGTGCGAAAATGGTACCAATCCTGGACGTGATCTCTGCTTATCTCTGCTTCTGTAGCCAAACATCACTTCTAAAGCTATGTATTCCAGTCCCGTTCGGCCATGTTTACGACGTTCAAGTACCTATCTCGCAGACACGTCCGTTAGATAGTGAATTCTAGAGCTATGTACCGCTCAGATGATGCAGATGATGCAAAGCAGAAACTTGCATTTCTTGCATCACAAGACGCTTCAAGTTAGCACGAATTTATCTTCCAGCACTTTAAACCGGTTCCAAAAACGTGAAAAAACACAGGATTCTAGAGCGAAAATGGCTCCCCCCCCAGCTAAAGCTATTAGTACTTGCGGTACTTGCGGTATAATGCGAGCCTCATAAAACGCCTCGGCACCTTCGGTGCGGGCGGATTCCCCTTCATTACCACATGTATACAGTGCCTTAATTTGCAGCCTTCTGCAGGAGAAGTTTTCAAAGCACAGTTCTGCTGGCACGGGCAATGGCACCAGCGCCAGTGGCCATACCACCAGCCAGCAAGAGGGGGATGAGTCCAGCAGCAGTCACTGAGAATTTTGGCCCGTGCCTGGGAATCTATTCTCATGGCCAAGACTAAGTCTTTGGCTCATGCAATTTCAACAAGTAAACATTTGTTTGAACACTATGCCCTCAAAGTTCTTTTGTATTAGTGCACAGTGGCAGAAACCTGTTTTGTACATTAATGTCGGTCTCACCTAGGCATGCATCATGCATGGACGTTTCATCGTAAACGGCATTGAAAATGGCCGCACTGTTTGCTCCGTGGCAAGATCCAAAGATCCCAACGCTGAAAGGCAACATGCACCTAACTGAGCATGTGTGGTGGTCCATTTGGTTGCAATTCCATTTAAAGCTCCTTTGCAGGGCGGTGGCTACAGCATGGATCTGAACTTTGCCTTGTTGGTGCTGCCTACCTTGAAGAGTTTGCAAACCACTATGAGGCCCATCGCGGGTGCTTCGATGTGCTTGTTGGTGCTGTGTTGCCCTCTCCGAGTCATTAGATATCGAGGGTTCTCAAGTTCTTTATCATTGAAGAACACGAAAACAACAGTGGAACAGATACTCATTGTCATTGTACGAATGAGATATGGAATAGATACTCTCAACTGTGTATATATACCGTAGTTCTCAAAATGGAATTCTTGTATCTGCTTCAATCGTTCTTTTGAGATTCTCTGATTCACTTTCCGGCTTTCTCAACAATTGTTTTTGCCGAGCACTGATATACTGTGATATACTCAGCAATCCGCATTGGAGACAGTGAGCAGTACAGAAGAGCCTCTGACGCAGAATCACCAGAACATTGAGATCTTCCAGAATTCATCCTTTAAAATAGATCACACACACACATAGCTACTGGACCAGTGCCAACACTTGGAGTCATGTGCTTTGAGTTTTGAGCACAGCGGTGAGCTCCTCATCCAGGCGAGTGAGTTCCTCTCGCGAGTGGGTGCCGATCGATGAGCCTTGGGTCTTCCCACGTCGCTGGGTTCGTCTCGAAGCAGTAACAGTGCGTTCGGCGTCCGGTGAACAGTTCACTGCCTTTTGCAGGGAGGCCAGGAAGGTGCTTGGTGTTTTCTGAAAGCCTCAAAGTGAGAGAACACGTCTGTCAATGCTCTGAAGTCTTGTCTGAAGAGCAATCCCGAGAGGCCTGAAGTCAATGCTCTGCCACGTTTGGGGGTTTGGAGGGGTTTGGTTTCGTCAGGAAAAAAACAACTGCTTTTCGAGCTGGACAGTTAGGACCCCATCAATTTCCACATTGTGATCGCCAGCTTCACCATGCTCGGCGCAGCCATTCACATCGCAGGACACTGTGTCCGACACCGAGTTTCGCTCGAGAAGCGAGGGAGAGAGGTCCCGGCAGATTGAACAGCATGGATTGATTTGGTTGGAGGATGTCGCCGGAGCATATCTCAGTTTCGTTGAAACACGGCCAAACACGACTACCGCTGCCCATCTCTTGTCTTTATTGGTCTATGTCTTTTGCGTCTAGTGGGATGTCTTGCGACATGTAGCCAAAGTTAGCCTGTGGCCTCTCTGCTGGAGGGCGGCACCGTGCTGTTAGAAAGGATGCAACAGTTGTACTTGGATTTGCACCAAGGTGCATGCGTACCTTATCCGCCAATCTCCCATCATCCAGCCCGACCCCCTTGAGCTGTGGAAACTGTCGGCGGAAGAGAAAATGAGTGGGATGACCTTCCTACAGCAGGCCCAGGACCTTCATGACAAACCATCGCGATGCGGCGCTCTTTTTGGTGAACACCGGGGGAGGGCCGACGGTTTGGACTTCGGAGCAGGTGCATACCGTACAAGTGGTGCTTTATAAAGAAAGGTCTACCAAAATGGCAGCACATCGTTCTATTTCTAGCTCTGCTCTGGGCGTCCATGTGCTGTACCGTGTAGGTGTTCAACCTTCAAATTCGTTGCGCTGGATTCACGGGCATCATTTTGACCGTGATGATGCTGGCCATTCTGCTCACCGTTGGATCCTGAGAGAATGCTTTGCAGACAAAAACATCAACAAGACAATTACTGTATATGCAAAACATGTAAGTTACACCACATCATATTGCAACACAAAGACACAGATTGTAATACAATATAATAACTACACCACTACTACTACGGAGAGATTCATGAACTTGACCCACTTGATCCGCTGGAAATTCCGTCTGCGAAGGCCCTGAACTGCTCTCGGCGCCGCACGAACTGCTTCAGCCGTCGCATTGGCGGGTTCAATTTGATGCTCGGCACGAGTCGCAAACGCCTTCGGCGGATCGGACAGGGTGACATGGAATTCGGAATTCAGCAAAATGAGTGACATCAGATGTGAAAAGATTGAAAGGAAGCCCAATAGTAGTGCCCAGGTGATACACGTGGGCAGGATGAAAATTGATAAAGTAACATTCGACTTGGCAGAAGTCATGGCGGTATATAGGCGTCAGAAGACAGAAAGCCAGTGATTGGCATCGGTTTCCCCGCTTCCGCAGAGGTTTTGGCGGATCCACATGTCATGGAAGCTCATCTATGTGCTGCTTTTGCTGCATGCACCTGCTCGACTCTGGATTTGGCCGCTTGACTACCCAAGTGTGATGCAGTGAAGCTCTGACTTGGTTATTGACCTTGCTAGAATGGGCCAAAACACATGGGCGATTCAGCCAGAAGAATCAAGCAAGAACATAGCGGGCAAAGGTTCATTATCAACAGGGGTCCAGCTGCAGTGTTTGTCTAAAGGGCTTCAAAAGGGGCGACTCCAAATACTGCTTTGGACTCTTCGCTCAGCCCCCAAAGTCGATTTTGGGCACCAAACAAAACTACCACTTGGGCGAGCCAAGAGATTTAGAAGAACTTGCAGATTATTGCAAACGTATGCCGGGAATTCTTGGGATGTTCAAGAGTTGCCAAGTCTTAGCTTGTTTAGGACAATCCATCGCAGTGAGTTCTTTCAAGACTGGTGACTGAAGGATACTGAACGCCTCTTCAACGGCGTCTTGGCTCTCCAGTGTCCAAGGTTCTTCTTTCCAGCGCTTTTCGTGCTAGTGGACCGGTTGCTCCTGGCCAACAACCAAAGCATCTATTTGTCCCTTCGCAGCGTGAAGCTCTTGCCGAGCCACTTGGAAGCGGTGAGACGTCTCAGAAGGTCTTTCGAGACCAACTTGCAGGGTCTTGTCATTCCGCCAAGCAGGAGATGTGATTGGACTCACCTTCGAGCTGCCTCAGGGATTTGCCTACCAGGCCGAGCCGAAGCAAAACCGCACATCGGCAGTGTCCAATGCAAGTGTCCAGACTGGCAGCAAACATGGGAATACTTGTACTTGCTGTACTTGCATCCAGAGCTGCTGTTCTGCAGGCTGGGCAGTACATCCTGTTGGGTTGGAAGGGCGAGTGGCATCCCTTCACATTGACTTCGGCGCCAGAGGACACAGCTGAAGTTTTACAGTAAAACATTACAGCTTCATGAGCCGCAAGTGCCAGGGCTTTGTGTGAGGAAGCTTCAATTTGGTCACCGCAAGTGTTGGTCCAAATGTGGAGATTCCCATCCTGGGACGAATGAAACATCAGGAGAATTGCATCAGTGTACACATTCGTTCACCCAACAGCCTCGATTGGTGACGTGGCCGCGTTATGCTGGATGGGTCGAAAAGGTGCCGGCACCCCCCACAGAGTGTGTTACGGCGTGTTACGGACGGCCATCCCGGAGTGTTCTGATGGGATGACACATGAGTATTGGACGAGTGAACAGATCACCAGTCGACTCAGTCGGCATTTGAAAACGCTCCTCCGCATGGCGCATGGCAAGGGGAATCCCCGGAAGCCAACTCAATGCTTGGGCCTTTCAAAGACTTGTAGTATAGGGAACATTGAGCCCAACCAAGGCCCAAAAGGGTCTACCGAGTCTACCATGGTTATATGATGTTATCAATACATATCAATACTCAACCACAAGCCTTTCCCATCATCTTCAGCCCTGAGAATCGTCACTGTCTTGGGGAAGCGCCTGTTTTGGCTGTCAGAATGTTGGGGTCACCGAACCAGACACCCAACGACCGACGCGTGGCGAGCGAAGCGTGGCAGTCAGGTGCTCCGCCTTGCGGAAGCGCCTCACCCAGGAAGCTCCGGCGCAGGCGGCGGGCGTGGACCCCTCGGAGAGCAAGGCTCCCAAGGCTCCGAGCGAGGGGGAGGGGCCCGAGCAAATCGCCCGTTAAAAAAGCTGGTAGGGTTGGGTTCAAAGAGTGGCACCAACACCAAAGTCCCTCAAGTCACTCGTGGATACTTGTGGATCATTGGATGATTTTGACTTGGCATAATGTTTGACACAGGAGAGACATTTGTCGCGGCAAATGGCGGCCAGACGTGACCTTGCGTCTCACATCTGAGAGCACTTGTTTTGTTTTGTGTGAGGCCCCTTTGCTAATCGAGTACCGGAAATGCACAGTGGCCAACAGCCCCTTGGCACAGCCTGGATGTGCTCGAAGTAGCATTGAGACCGGGGGTGGTTGACATCGAGGCAGCGACTCGAGGAACCCCCGCCAAACATGATATATATATATATATCGAATTGGTTTGAATTGGCAGTGAAGAGCTTGACCCCGTTCAAGGCCCAGTCATCTACAACATGCCCAAGGTTGCTGCTGCTGCTGGTGCTGCTAAAGGTGACACAGAAGCAGTGCCTAGAAAGCATTTACAGGTGGATGCTTCTTTTTCATATCGCCAAGCTTCGACATACGAACTCCTTTGCCACTTTGTAGCATGTCAGGCACTGGATGAGAGTCAAGGCCCACGACTGTTGGGGAGAAACGTCTCAGGCACGGCCAGAGTCTGGATGTTGCGATACAGAAAGCGACCAGTGACCAGAGGCTCAACAGTGAAATTGGATGAAATTGGTTTGTGCAATGCTTGGTTCATGATCTGCAATTTGGTCAGTGGGTGAAACTTGATACCTGAAACTGCAAGCCTTGAACAAACTGCAAGTTGAAGAGACTCATACACCAGGGGAATCCAGGGGGAGGTTCCAAACCTCATCTCAGAGTGAAACGTGCTGAAACCGACACGGGCCTTGTCGGGTGCCCTTTCACCTGGTTGGCCCATCACTCGACACGGGTTCACATCACTCGACACGAGGCAAGCAGATGGAGCCGATGCAGTCTGGAGAGACCATGATCAGCGGCCTGGAGAAAGAACGTTCGTACATGGAAGCTAACGTTCGTAGCGTCCTTGCTCCTAGTAGCGATGCCCTTTGTTCCATGGTTCATTCAGTTCATTCGGTTCTTCTTCAGGCTTTGGATTCACACCAAAGCAGTTTTTGCTGGTCGCTTCCCTTCGGATTCTTCTTTTTCCTTGTCCTTCTCGGAGCTTGTCCACGTGCATCGAAAACGATGCTCAAAATCGCTTTTTCTCTGGCCCCTTTCTCCAGGTCCCAGCTTCCATGGCATAGCGACTGAAGCACTGAATCGTGAGGTTTATAGACTCCGTTTGAGTTGTGCAACTACATACGCAGTTTTCAGTTGGCACGTGTGAGATGTTTTTGCACTCAGGTCGAGTTCAGCCTGGTATGCTGCCTCCAGAGGCCAGGTCGAGTTGTCTTTCTTCTGACACAATTGAAGGCTCGGCTCTCACTTGAAGGCCTTGATGTTCAGTTTTGCCGAGAAACTTCACAGTAAAGACAGCAAAGCTTGCCGTGGCTCTGCCAGTTAGCTCTGCCTCAGCTGAAAGATTCGATTCTCGATAGGACGTAGGATATAGGATAACAGCCAAACAAGGTGTGAAACAGTGAAGGACACTGCTTGCTTAGGCAGGCAAGTCTTTTTTCGATTGCGTGACCGGTCCGACCGAGGCTGTTGTCTTACAGGTCACAGGCCCCTTTGGTGCGCCTGCTCAGTGCCTTGTTGGGTTTGGCAGTTCTTTGAATGTCTTCCTCAGTGTCTTGAAGGTCACACGTCTTTTTGACAAGATGACTTTCGAGGCAACCAACACACTGGGAGAACTGACAATAGTTGGACAGATAGAGAACTGACAATTCTTTTCTTCATGGCGTTTCTCATTGGTTTGCAACCATTGGGGGCCATTGGGGGCCTTTGGGCCAACGCTGAGGAAAGTTTGGGGCTTCGATACGCTGATGGTGGTCGGAGCTGGTATTGGCGTTGCCTGCCTGACGTTGGTTGGAGGGTGGATCTGCCAGTGGGCCTTTGATGCTTCAAACTTGCCTGGAAGCTGATTTGGGGGCCGTGAAATGGCATCCTTGCCAATTAGAGGATTCTACTGAAGTCCTACTGGATCGATGGCAAAGACATCAACATGGTGAGTCCCACACACAACACAATAATCCAGGAACACATCCAATTGAGAATATCCAGCAAAACTAATCCTGCTGAGAATCCTTGTTGCTTTGCACCTTGATCCTGAGTTTTCTGCGGTTCCCGAGGTGACACCTTTTGCCTCCATCTTGAAGTCAGTGCAGCTGCGTGCCAAGCAGCGTGAAACAATCATGAGCACTGCGACCAGGCCAAGCTGAAGGTCTTCCGGGATTTAGTTGGTCCAGGTCAGAGGTTATTGCGGCCCCCAAAAAGAACGTACGTTTGATGGATATGGATGCTTCAAAATCCAATATGTATATATATATATATTAGCATACACATACACACATGATTCACCAAAAACACAATCCTGCGAGTTGTGAAATTGGGCAACACCTTGTGACAACAACACCTTGTCGCAAGAATACCTTGTGGTAACAACACCTTCTGTAACCGCACCTTGTTGTAACTCTGTAGAGATTGCATGCCAGGCCATCTGCCTGGCGTAATGCCATTGGAGGTGGGTCGTTGCAAAGTGGGAACAAGCATGAACAAATGAGAGAATGAGCGCTTGTGCTGTTGATGGATCTATCAACACTCATGCACCAAACGTTAGGACTGAGCTGGATGACAGCTTCATCAGCCTCTTGTGACCCTGTCAAGTGCTCACCAGACACTGCAGCATGGCACCTTGCAAGACTCATCTCCCACTAACCAGCTGCGTCCGTCGATGTCCCTCTTCCACACCACGCCACGTGTCGGCGCCACGGTCCGGCGGTCAGGCGGTCCGGTGTCGCCCGGTGAGGCGAGCAAGAGGATGCAAGAGCTGGGCTGCAGCGACTGGTGGAAGAACTCGTGGCGGTGCCCAAGAAGCGCCATGGTCGGCATGGGACCTGATCAGTGTCGGTCGGTTGTTGATGATGATTGGACGACGCCACGTTGTTGCTGGTGAGATATAAGCGGTGAATGAACAGCTTTCACATGTGTGCAGTTTAGTTGAACAGGTCATTCCTGTTTTGTTGGCAAGGTCAAGACTGTTGACAAGATTGAACCTGTTGAACCTGTGGCCGTTTGTTGAGGATCTACTTCTACTGGATTTGCCGCGGTCAGGCAGGAGGTTTTATGTGTAGAGCGAACCCAACAGCAATATTGCCAACGTAGGTCTTAAATTCTCCAACTTTCTGTCGCTTCGTCTCTTTTAAGTCAGATGAGCAGTCCCTCCAGTACATTTCCATCCTGATTCTATGGCGAGTATGAACATGGATGGCTTGGTCTTGATCATGCCATCCTTTTGGCTCCCTGTGACGCATAGCAATGTTTTTGGTAGATCGTCCTTCCAGCGATGCTTTCGATGCAGGAAGAGTTTGACTGGTTCTGCGATCTCCTCTCAGATGCCGCTGAAGGTCCAGCAGCAGGCGCGCCCGTCCGGACCGAGCTTCGCGCGGGCGTCTCGCGAGCGGGTCCGAGAAATCGGTTTTGCTTTCAGTTCGCTACACCGATAGGGTCCGGTTCCTTACTCCGTGGACGGTGTGGGCTCGATCGGCCAGTCTGCCTCTCAGGCATCGTGGACATCACGCTTTTCATTACTGGGGAGATCGAGCTGGCTCAGGCATGGAGGTTTCGTCCGTGGGCATCCGCCGGAATCCTGGATTCCTTCTACTCGAGGTTGAACTCGGCATCTCTCGGCGGTATGGGTTTCACTGGGTTTCACAGACCGTGGGATCAATGAGTTGAGGGATTTTTCGTTTTCGTGAGGTGAAAAAGCTGCCTTGTGCCAGCGGCCAATTCTTCGGTCGACCCAACTGGGGACGCATCTTCAAGCAGCATCTTGGCCGGTCGCCCACTCGTGGGAAAACCAGGAGGGTGACAGAGGAGAGTGATCCCCAAAGAAGACAACTCAGTTTTATTGAACACAAAGACAAAGAACATGAAAACGAAAAAAACATAATACGAGGTTACACACACACACATATATATATATATATATGCATGGACGTGAACCACGTGCCAATTGAAACCCAATGGAGCAAATGGAGCAATGGGTCTCATTGCTGGCAAGTCGATAGGGCCAAAGTGCAAAAGAAGGGGTCTACCATGGTCTACAAAATGCCCAATGATCTTAAAGCCTCCCAAAGAGGACCATCCTACTAGGTCCTACTACTCCATCCCGGGACTGAGTATGATCAAAGTACCGTGGACTCATAGAGTTTTCAAGAACACCAAGTTCACCATCATCTGCACCAAAAACCCCACATCATCTGGTCCGAACACCTCCGAGACGCCTCTCCTCCGAAGAGCACGGTCCGAACGCGCCGCGGACCGGACGTCTCGTGGCGACGACGACGACGTCAAGCGTCTTCAGGAACCGTGAGAAGCACCAGGGCGAGCACGTGGGCGTGTTCTTGTTTGGAGCGCCAAGCATTCCCTCTGCTTGGGCGTGGTCGCGAATTGGTCGTGTGGTCTGGTGCGGAGGTGGTACGACCATTTTCGAACCGAACTTTAGAGCAGAAATTTGCAACGGGTTCAACGCTAGGAGAGGGCCCCTTTAACACAAACGCACGTCGGCACGAACACAACAAATCTAGGCGGAAAGGCAAGCAACTAAGCAACCATTGTTGGAGAGGATTCAATATGGATTAATGTCTTTTGAGCTTCTACTGCTTCTACTCTTCGTTTTCACCACCGGGCGGATTCACCACCGCGCGATCGACGGATTCACCAGGTGCGGTTCCCCGGTGATCGGGGAGGAACTCTCGCGACAGAGTGTCAAGAACTCGGATGCTCGGACCGAAACGCCGTCAGAAACGAAGCGTCGGCTCGGAGCCCGAAGCCTTTGTAGGTTGACCGTCCCTGGAAGTCTATTCTGTTCTTCCCGACGCGTCGATGCGGTCACGACTGGTTTACATGGCATTCTGCCACGCACCCAAACACATGTGAGAGGTCCACATGAGGAAACTAATTACGACTCCGCACTGCCAAACGTGAACTCCCAAGCAGCTAGCTTCGCTGTCGACACACCAGACAAAATCCGAGCAAAGCGGACCTTCTCTTCCCTGCAGAAAAGAACCTCGGCACCATCGATGGTGCCATTTGGTAGCGACTTACCGATGCTCTTGTTGCGGTGCCTGTTGTGAACACCTGGAAGAACTTTATCCGAGAGGGATCTCGCGTGTGCAACAAATTGCCGTATTTCACCTGTCAAGTCACGAAAAGTATGTTGATCAGGATCATGTCCAGGCAAACGAAAACCCTTCAAATAGAATAACACCGCAAGCTCAACATAGGAAGTAACTGCATCATGATGAACTTTCCACTGAAGTCGATCAAAAAATTCTCCCAACACTCGCCAGCTCGGAGCACGTTCAGCCCACTTCTCATGCAATGGAAGTGAAAGCAACGACTCTTCCGCTCTCCAAGCAAACTCACCAGGGTTGGGGTCCCATTCCCAGTGAGGAAAGAGGGAGAAAACGTTCTCGGAATCCGCTTCAGCTTCCATTCTCGCCTCATTTTTGGCATCCTGATCATGCTTCTGCAGTATTGCCACTTGGATGTTAAGATTCGTGAGCCAATCCTGGCGCTGCACTATGGATTTCTTGACCAAAGTCTCGTCATGAGGATGGATACTTGTTGCCTCCAAAGCATGTGCCTTGGCGAACCTATCCGCAAACCGATTGCCCATGATGTGGCGAACCTCTGTTCCATGGGAGTGAGCCATGGAGTGCGTGATATGCTCTTCAGGTAGATATTCAAACAAGTGTGAGGGGACCCAAACAGCTTGCAGTGGGTTCGGATGCAGATGTCGCAAAGCTTGTAGTCTATCATGGATGGCATGCCACCAAGCAAGATGGGACCAAGCTGGATCGGGGACTTTGTTTACTTGCAGCTCTCGGAGTTGGTTCACTATTGTCTGACAGTCCGTATAGACGGTCGTGGGGCCTGTACAGATGCGGGAGGCCACCACAAATGCCCAAAGTTCGGTGGAGTATGAGGACAAACTCAGGTTGCGCACGGGGCCACCTGAAACTTCTTGGTAATGTTGGTCAACCAAGGAAAAACCACCAGCCGTGAGCCAGAATGTATCGGACCAAAAAATTGAACCATCAGACCACCACTCTACGTGAGGCGCCTCCGGATGAAAGGTCTGAGCTTCAATGTGATCCGGATTGGACCATCCCAGCCTGTGCTTGATGATACCTACAGGATGTTCCACAATTCCAAGCAGGCCAAAATTAGGACCATATTCATGGACCGGATGTGGTGGAAACCGTTCCAAGAACACCGGGCATTCATGGACCAGGTGGTGAAGAGACTCCTTAACTCCCTCACAAAATCTGCACCGATCCGATGAGTCCAGCGACGCAGCAAAGAGACGGTCTCGAGTTAGGGTACAACCAACTAACTGCGAGTGGAAGTGGCTTTCAACCGGGGTATCCGGGCTCATCTGGAGCTGAGAAGACTTACGAAGACCACAAGTAAGGTCAAAATCGAGAATTCCAGCCGGCGCCTTGAAGTCTTTCCTGTGCTGATTGGATGCATTTACATAACATTTGTGCCTGGCAAGCCTCTGAAGGACTGGTTTGATGTCCTTCGGAGAAAGGTCCCACACTGGCATCAAAGGTTTCCCAGCAAAAGTTACTTGCAAAGAATCTGACAACTGGAACCCAAAGAACTGGAAAGCCTGTTGAATCCGTTTCACAAAGCTGTGGTCAGAAGGCACGGCGTTGGCACACCAGCGGACTTTGTCCAATCCATTACCAGGCATTCGAAGGAACCGGACAAACTCCAGGATCGAATGATATGCTCTGGCACATTGCGGATCATTCTGGTGAGGTTTCGCAAGAAAGGCCATGACAAGAGCCCTCGCTCTCCAGTGGGGCCGATGACCCCATATAGCTTGAACAATCTCAGATTGGATCTTCTTGGCAATCTCTTTGGGGATCTGGTTGAGGGAAGCCGCAAAACAAAACCTGGGAATGACCTTGACCCCAATGAAAAAGGATTTCATTTGCACCGAGAGAGGAAGAGCCTTGATGTGTTTGATTTCTTTCACAATGGCTTGGGTTTTGGAGTCAGGGAAGTGGAAAGCCAGTCTTTTGGACGTGGAAATGTTAGCACCAAGTACTTCAATCTCAACTGCAGGGACATGTCAGGCCACAAAGATTTGCCGGTCTTTCTGGCACGGGTGGACGTTCCCCAAACCACGCATTTGGCATCGTTCAGCAGTTGCCCCGAGAGTTGATCCCAAAAACGAGTCATTTCAACTGCCGTGGCCAAAACACTAGCGTATTCAAGGTGAGCCCATAGATAGGCGTCATCAATGTAAGCCATGGCAACAACTTCCGGTAACAAGTCCATGAAAATGACCCAGACCTTGGAGTACACATTGATTGCTACTAAAGAAAGGCTGTCGCCTTGTGCTATTCCGTTGGCAGCATGGGTGGCAACAGGCGAACACCAACACTTGAATGAAAGATGCCTATGCAATCCATCATAAAGCTTAGTGAAAATGGCGACCAACTTGCGATCAATCCCGAAAGCTAACATCAGGCATGCAGCAAAGGAGGGGATGATTCTATCGAAACACTTGGCTTTGTCGAGCTTGAGTCCTAGGAGCTCTTGACCCTGGGATTCAGCAACATCGATGTCGAGTTTCAAGTGGGTTTGGATGGAGGACATATTACGCCCTTTGACACCCCCAACTAATTGCTTCGGCATCGTGTGGATTTGCCAGCCACAAAGTTGACGGAACCTTGCTCCCGAATACGCCAAATATAAAATTGGCAACACAGTGATTAAACGCTTCTGCATGGGATGAGCAGAGCCATTCTTATTTAAAATCATCTGTCGGGCGCAAGTGAGCGTGGTTGGAAGTGGTTCATCCGAGAGCTCAAGCTGCTCAAAGACCTGTGCGAAGGGCTTGAAACAAGCCTCAGGCAGCTTTTGCAGCTCCTGTGTCCGCCAGCCATCGAATCCTGGGGCTGCTTGTGGTTTTCGGGCTTGGATGGTCAACCAAAGTTCATGAGCATCAATGGGAGGACATTCGAACTGCATTGTGTGATCTTTGATGTAAGGCCAGATTACGTCCAACATCTTAAGTGGGTGTTCAGCATCGATGTTACACGCAAACACCTCGTCCCAGGCACTGTTAAACGTGGCAATCGCTTGAGTAGGGTCAACGATGATGTTTCCCTGTGCGTCCTGCAGCAAGTTCGCTGGTTCATCACATGCTCGATTCCTAAGATGGCGAAAAACAAAGGAGTTGCCCTTGTTGACATCATCCTTGATTTTAGTTCTCCATCGCTGAATGCGGTCAAGCTTGGTTTTAACATCGTGAGTGCGGGCACAATCACCCACCCAGTTGAGATTGGACCACACTTGAAGTACCGATGGGATCGATCCTCTCGGCCAAACAAATGGCGATTTCAAGCGAGTCAACAGTTTATGGGCATTGCAGCAAGTATTATATGAGACTTGCGTGTCGGCGAACGAGCCCTGGTGTCGAGACAGGCGAAGAAAAAGTTCCTGCAAAACACGGAAAGCTTTGCAGAGGGTGGCCATACGGGATTTCGATGCGCCTCCAAACATGGACTGGCCAGGACAAACTCTCTTGCTACGGAATTTGGGTGGTTTGCCTCTTTCCTTGATGCCTTGTCCCCATCTGCCCCCATTCTGTAACATGAACAAGACACAAAAGTCATTGGCGATAGCCCAGCGATCTTCAGGGTCATCGCTCTCCACGAAGGCCTGCGAGAATTGATTTGTCCACAAAGATTCAGCATGCTCATTCGTGAACAACGTAGAGTCGACAGTTGAGGTCGTGGTGTCAAAAACGAATGGGGCGGTTTTGTGATGCACGAAGCCAGACATGAACATTTTCTGCCAATGGCAAACAATTCTCAGAGGTCGGTGCTGTGTTTCACAAGTCTCAATCGTTTCGGCTCGAAGAAGAGCAGAGCAGGTGACATGATTAATCAAGATCGTGTCAATACTGGAACAACCCTCCTGACCACTGAAAGAACGATCGGACGAGAAGGTCAGAATCCTCTGTGGGAGGCCCTCAGCATCAAAGGAGACAAATGGGTCCTCCCATTTTGCAAAATGAATGGCTTGTGTGACCGAAGCATATGATAATGGTTCCGCCTGGAAATCCCCAGCGATGATGACCGGAATGTCCCCAAACTGGGCGGAGATATCAAAGATAGCCTCAAGCGTGGTATTATTCCATGAATGGGGATCTTGCTCCGATGATGCGCCCGTGCGACCGTAGAAGGACCAAATGAGGGCACGAACATGGGGGGTCACTTGGTGCCAGATGGCCGTGACACGAGTGGAATTATACAGATCTAGATACTGTCCAGTGATGTCCTGTTCAGGGGAGAATGCAATCGATGTGTCTCTTGGTGCCAAAATGGCTGCACCCCCATGTGGCGTGCGAGACACACCATGATTGGTGATCAAACCAGGCAAAAGTTTGGAGGAGAACAAATGGCGACCTGTGGCTTGCACTCTAAACAAAGCATCTCTTGTGATTATTACGCCCGATACGTGGCTCTTGAACGCAAAGGACGGTATCCTGAGAGGATTGCCATTGCATGGTTGTCCTGAGTGAACCAGTATTGTGTGAGAAGAGGGACCAGGTGTCATTGGGCCCCTCACCCGGGTAGCCACAGGTGCTATCGAATTGCATCCTATTAGAAAACTGAGCCTTAGCCTGATACTCTGGTGGGCGGTCGAAAAGGCAGCTGCAACTTTGTTGACAGTGATGGCGGGAGTCATA